AAAAAAAAAAAAAAAAAAAAAAGATAAGGAAAATTTTCGATGAGAATTCCCTACAAATCTAATATTGATACAAAGTTTTGTTAGAGTGATAAGATACTTCTTTAATTAGAGCTCTTAATGATATTTCTGATAAAATATTTTTTAATTTATAAAAATTTTATTTCTTTCTAAAAATAAAAATTCTTAAATAGTAATTATTTTTTTTTTTTGTTACAGGCCTATGGAAAAAAGTTGGTAAATTATTATTCCTCGGATTAGATAATGCTGGTAAAACAACATTATTACATATGCTCAAAGATGATCGTTTAGCACAACATGTGCCTACATTACATCCAAGTAAATTATTAATTATTATAAATTTCACTAATACTCACCTTATTATTATTATTGTTATTATCACTATAATAATAATTATTATTATTTTAAAAAATTCATAGCCGGTAATAATAATAATAATAATACTGTCATCTGCTATTTTTTAATTTCTTACTTTATCATTATTATTATTATTATTATTGTTATTTCAAAAAATCCATAGTCAATAATAATAATAATAAAAATAATAATAATAATAATAATAATAATAATAATAAAGTAAGAAATTAAAAAATTGTAGAGGTTATTATTATTATTATTATTATTATTATTATTATTATTATTATTATTATTATTATTATTATTTGAAAAATTCATAGCCGGAAATAATAATAATAACTCGCCATCTTGCAGTCACTATGTGACTGCCGTGACTTGTGAACTATAATTAAATAAAATTTGCATTATTAAATAATTACTCTTGTTAAATTGCACTGTACTTTCTTAACTATTGACATTTTTGATAATATAAACTCATCCCGATGTTACACTCATCAAGAGCTTTCATTTGAGTACCCACATGCATTTTTAATATATTTTTCATATATACATATATCAAACATATAAAATATATGAAAAATTGATGTGGGTACTCAAATGAAAGGTCTTGAAAAGTGTAACATCAAGATGAGCTTATATCTTTAAAAATGTCTATAGTTCACAAGATACAAGGTCATTTCTTAATTTTTGACATTTTCTAAGATATAAGCTCATTCTGATGTTACATTTATCAAGAGCTTTTATTTGAGTACATACATGCATTTTTGATATATTTTTCATATATACATATAGATAATATATATAAAATATATGAAAAATTGATGTGGGTACTTAAATGAAAGGTCTTGAAGAGTGTAACATCAAGATGAGCTTATATCTTTAAAAATGTCAATAGTTCACAAGATACAAGGTCATTTCTTATTCTCTTAATAATATCGATAATAATAATAATACCAAGATCTGCAATTTTTTAATTTCTTACTCTATTATTATTATTATTATTATTATTATTTCAAAAAATTCATAATAGATAATAATAATAATAATGAAGTAAAATATAAAAAATTCGTAGAGGTCCTTATCATTGTTATTATTATCACTATTGATATTATCATTTCAAAAAATTCATAGCCGATAATAATAATAATAATAATAATAATAATAATAATAATAACAATAAAGTAAGAAATTAGAAAATGGTAGAGATTATTATTATTATTATTAAAAATTTTTTTTTTATTTTGAAAAATAGCATCAGAAGAATTATCAATCGGTAGTATAAGATTCACGACATTCGATCTCGGAGGCCATACACAAGCAAGACGTGTATGGAAAGATTACTTCCCAGCAGTAGACGCTATTGTGTTTCTAGTTGACGCTAGTGATCGTACGCGACTTCCAGAATCACGTGCTGAGCTCGATACTCTTCTTACTGATGAACAACTTAGCACCTGTCCTGTTCTTGTACTCGGGAACAAAATTGACAAGCCTGGTGCTGCGTCTGAGGATGAGTTGAGAGCTTTCTTCAATTTATATGGTCAAACGACCGGCAAGGTAATATTTTTATTTAAAATTAAAAATTAATATAAAAACAAAATTTATTTTTTTATTGAGTCAATTTTTAAAAAATTTTAAATTTTAATAAAAAAATAGAATTTATTTATAATTATTTAATGAATTAAATTAATTTTAATTTACAATTGAAGTAATTAAAATAATTAATAAAAAATTAACAACAATTTTTTTTAAGTAATTAAAATAATTAATAAAAAATTGATAAAATTTTTTTTAAGTAATTAAAATAATTTAATAAAAAATTTTTTTTTTTTTTTTTTTTCAGGGAAAAATTGCCCGAAGTGAAATTCCCGGTCGTCCATTAGAATTATTTATGTGCTCTGTTTTAAAGAGACAAGGCTACGGCGAGGGCTTCCGTTGGCTCGCCCAGTACATCGACTGAACGCACTTAACTATTAATAATAAAAATTATTAATACCACCAATTCGATGCTGCAATCTAAACAGTTAAAATACCATCAAAAATAAATTAAAAAAAACCGAAAAAAAAAAACTGAATAATTTAATTTAATTTAATTTTTTTCATCGCATCTAATCTGATTATAATCACTAAACTTTAATTCGTTTTCTTATTTTTTACTTTTTAAACGACAAAAAAAAAAAAACCTAGACTATATAAATAAAACTCGACGTATATTTTGAAAGATGCTAATTTTTTTTTAATTATTGTTATTTAAAAAAAAAAAAATGAAGAATTATAAATAGAACAGTGTAACGCGATGATAAAATACATTTTGATAAAATGACTAATTATTTCAATTTAATTCCTACTAGCAACCTTGCAGTTACTATGTGACTGCCGTGACTTGTATACAAAAAAAAAATTGAAATTTTGCTTTATTAAATAATAAATTTTGTTTAATTGCACGGTACTTTCTTAAATATTGACGTTTTTAAAGATATAAGCTCATCCTGATGTTACACTCATCAAGAGCTTTCATTTGAGTACCCACATGCATTTTTAATATATTTTTCATATATTTTATATATTATATATATGTATATATGACAAATATATCAGAAATGCATGTGGGTACTCACATGAAAGGTCTCGATGAGTGTAACATCAGGATGAGCTTATATCTTTAAAAATGTCAATATTTCACAAGATAAAAGGTAATTTCTTAATTATTGATATTTTTAAGGATATAAGATCTTCCTGATGTTACACTCATCAAGAGCTTTCATTTGAGTACCCACATGCATTTTTCATATATTTTTCATATATACATATATGTGATATATATAAATATATAAAATATATGAAAAATTGATGTGGGTACTCAAATGAAAGGTCTCGATGATTGTAATATCAGGATGAGCTTATATCTTTAAAAATGTCAATATTTCACAAGATAAAAGGTAATTTCTTAATTATTGATATTTTTAAGGATATAAGATCTTCCTGATGTTACACTCATCAAGAGCTTTCATTTGAGTACCCACATGCATTTTTCATATATTTTTCATATATACATATATGTGATATATATAAATATATAAAATATATGAAAAATTGATGTGGGTACTCAAATGAAAGGTCTCGATGATTGTAATATCAGGATGAGCTTATATCTTTAAAAATGTCAATATTTTACAAGATAAAAGGTAATCTCTTAATTAAGTATCCCTGCGACAACATTTTTATTATTCTCTTAATAATATAGATTAAATTCGCATCCAACATTTTTTTATTCAAATAAAAATATTAATAAAATAATTTATCGAAGTTCCAGCTCGTTTTTCGGAGCAAGAGCTTCAAATTTGCTCTTAACATATTTGTCAGAGACCTCTGCGAGGCTCTGAGGGTTCCACTTGGGATTGAGATCCTTGTCGACCAAGAGAGCGCGGACTCCCTCGTAAAAGTCGCTTGACCGATCGCAAGCTCTCCAGACGAGCCTGAACTCCATTTTGAGGCACTCCTCCAGGGTGAGGTTCTTCCCGCGGTCGAGAGCTTCTTTAGTGATCTTCAAAGAAGACGGTGACATCTTGTGCAGATTCTCCAGGACTATTTTCGACCATTCCGAGCTGTCTGCTTTGAGGTTGTCGATTATACCCTCGACAGTGTCTGCGGAGAAACACTGGTCTATCCGCGGCAGGAACTTGTCCAGACTGAACTCACTGTCCTCTGAAGATTCGAAACTTTCAAGCACATTGTCGATGTCTTCTGCGTCTGACTCCAGGAGGACTTGTTCCAAGTCCTCTAGTTTTGATAATGGCACATAGTGAGTTGCTACTCCAGCGTGTTTTATGTCTTCACCTGGAATTATTATTAATGTGACTGCCGTGATTCGAAAACTATAAATAAATATAATTTTGCTTTATTAAATAATGAATTTTGTTAAATTGCACTGTACTTTCTTAACTATTGACTTTTTTAAAGATATAAGCTCATTCTGATGTTACACTCATTGAGACCTTTCATTTGAGTATCCACATCAATTTTTCATATATTTATATATATTATATATATATAATATATATCAAATATATGAAAAATTGATGTGGGTATTCAAATGAAAGGTCTCGATGAGTGTAATGTCAGGGTGAGCTTATATCTTTAAAAAGGTCAATGGTTCAAAGATACAAGGTAATTTCTTAATTATTGACATTTTTAAAGATATAAGCTCATCCTGATGTCATGCACATCGAAACCTTTTATTTGAGTACCCACATGCATTTTTGATATATTTTTAATATATACATATATATATAATATTCCTAATTGTAAAATAAAAAAACAATTTAATTATTTTAAGAGAAATTCTTTTTTTCTTTGTGTAAGTTTTGAAAAAAAAAAAATTTTGTTTGATTTTTGAGTAACTGACGTGACAAAAAAACCAAATTTGAGTGGTCCATTTTACCCCACTTTTTAAAATATCAGCTTTGAGAATAATATGACTAAAAATGAAAATAAATAAAAATATTTTACCTCTGGTAAATTAACATTTTAAAAGAAAATATTTTTTTTTCCTAATTGTAAAATAAAAAAACAATTTAATTATTTTAAGAGAAATTCTTTTTTTCTTTGTGTAAGTTTTGAAAAAAAAAAAATTTTGTTTGATTTTTGAGTAACTGACGTGACAAAAAAACCAAATTTGAGTGGTCCATTTTACCCCACTTTTTAAAATATCAGCTTTGAGAATAATATGACTAAAAATGAAAATAAATAAAAATATTTTACCTCTGGTAAATTAACATTTTAAAAGAAAATATTTTTTTTTCCTAATTGTAAAATAAAAAAACAATTTAATTATTTTAAGAGAAATTCTTTTTTTCTTTGTGTAAGTTTTGAAAAAAAAAAAATTTTGTTTGATTTTTGAGTAACTGACGTGACAAAAAAACCAAATTTGAGTGGTCCATTTTACCCCACTTTTTAAAATATCAGCTTTGAGAATAATATGACTAAAAATGAAAATAAATAAAAATATTTTACCTCTGGTAAATTAACATTTTAAAAGAAAATATTTTTTTTTCCTAATTGTAAAATAAAAAAACAATTTAATTATTTTAAGAGAAATTCTTTTTTTCTTTGTGTAAGTTTTGAAAAAAAAAAAATTTTGTTTGATTTTTGAGTAACTGACGTGACAAAAAAACCAAATTTGAGTGGTCCATTTTACCCCACTTTTTAAAATATCAGCTTTGAGAATAATATGACTAAAAATGAAAATAAATAAAAATATTTTACCTCTGGTAAATTAACATTTTAAAAGAAAATATTTTTTTTTCCTAATTGTAAAATAAAAAAACAATTTAATTATTTTAAGAGAAATTCTTTTTTTCTTTGTGTAAGTTTTGAAAAAAAAAAAATTTTGTTTGATTTTTGAGTAACTGACGTGACAAAAAAACCAAATTTGAGTGGTCCATTTTACCCCACTTTTTAAAATATCAGCTTTGAGAATAATATGACTAAAAATGAAAATAAATAAAAATATTTTACCTCTGGTAAATTAACATTTTAAAAGAAAATATTTTTTTTTCCTAATTGTAAAATAAAAAAACAATTTAATTATTTTAAGAGAAATTCTTTTTTTCTTTGTGTAAGTTTTGAAAAAAAAAAAATTTTGTTTGATTTTTGAGTAACTGACGTGACAAAAAAACCAAATTTGAGTGGTCCATTTTACCCCACTTTTTAAAATATCAGCTTTGAGAATAATATGACTAAAAATGAAAATAAATAAAAATATTTTACCTCTGGTAAATTAACATTTTAAAAGAAAATATTTTTTTTTCCTAATTGTAAAATAAAAAAACAATTTAATTATTTTAAGAGAAATTCTTTTTTTCTTTGTGTAAGTTTTGAAAAAAAAAAAATTTTGTTTGATTTTTGAGTAACTGACGTGACAAAAAAACCAAATTTGAGTGGTCCATTTTACCCCACTTTTTAAAATATCAGCTTTGAGAATAATATGACTAAAAATGAAAATAAATAAAAATATTTTACCTCTGGTAAATTAACATTTTAAAAGAAAATATTTTTTTTTCCTAATTGTAAAATAAAAAAACAATTTAATTATTTTAAGAGAAATTCTTTTTTTCTTTGTGTAAGTTTTGAAAAAAAAAAAATTTTGTTTGATTTTTGAGTAACTGACGTGACAAAAAAACCAAATTTGAGTGGTCCATTTTACCCCACTTTTTAAAATATCAGCTTTGAGAATAATATGACTAAAAATGAAAATAAATAAAAATATTTTACCTCTGGTAAATTAACATTTTAAAAGAAAATATTTTTTTTTCCTAATTGTAAAATAAAAAAACAATTTAATTATTTTAAGAGAAATTCTTTTTTTCTTTGTGTAAGTTTTGAAAAAAAAAAAATTTTGTTTGATTTTTGAGTAACTGACGTGACAAAAAAACCAAATTTGAGTGGTCCATTTTACCCCACTTTTTAAAATATCAGCTTTGAGAATAATATGACTAAAAATGAAAATAAATAAAAATATTTTACCTCTGGTAAATTAACATTTTAAAAGAAAATATTTTTTTTTCCTAATTGTAAAATAAAAAAACAATTTAATTATTTTAAGAGAAATTCTTTTTTTCTTTGTGTAAGTTTTGAAAAAAAAAAAATTTTGTTTGATTTTTGAGTAACTGACGTGACAAAAAAACCAAATTTGAGTGGTCCATTTTACCCCACTTTTTAAAATATCAGCTTTGAGAATAATATGACTAAAAATGAAAATAAATAAAAATATTTTACCTCTGGTAAATTAACATTTTAAAAGAAAATATTTTTTTTTCCTAATTGTAAAATAAAAAAACAATTTAATTATTTTAAGAGAAATTCTTTTTTTCTTTGTGTAAGTTTTGAAAAAAAAAAAATTTTGTTTGATTTTTGAGTAACTGACGTGACAAAAAAACCAAATTTGAGTGGTCCATTTTACCCCACTTTTTAAAATATCAGCTTTGAGAATAATATGACTAAAAATGAAAATAAATAAAAATATTTTACCTCTGGTAAATTAACATTTTAAAAGAAAATATTTTTTTTTCCTAATTGTAAAATAAAAAAACAATTTAATTATTTTAAGAGAAATTCTTTTTTTCTTTGTGTAAGTTTTGAAAAAAAAAAAATTTTGTTTGATTTTTGAGTAACTGACGTGACAAAAAAACCAAATTTGAGTGGTCCATTTTACCCCACTTTTTAAAATATCAGCTTTGAGAATAATATGACTAAAAATGAAAATAAATAAAAATATTTTACCTCTGGTAAATTAACATTTTAAAAGAAAATATTTTTTTTTCCTAATTGTAAAATAAAAAAACAATTTAATTATTTTAAGAGAAATTCTTTTTTTCTTTGTGTAAGTTTTGAAAAAAAAAAAATTTTGTTTGATTTTTGAGTAACTGACGTGACAAAAAAACCAAATTTGAGTGGTCCATTTTACCCCACTTTTTAAAATATCAGCTTTGAGAATAATATGACTAAAAATGAAAATAAATAAAAATATTTTACCTCTGGTAAATTAACATTTTAAAAGAAAATATTTTTTTTTCCTAATTGTAAAATAAAAAAACAATTTAATTATTTTAAGAGAAATTCTTTTTTTCTTTGTGTAAGTTTTGAAAAAAAAAAAATTTTGTTTGATTTTTGAGTAACTGACGTGACAAAAAAACCAAATTTGAGTGGTCCATTTTACCCCACTTTTTAAAATATCAGCTTTGAGAATAATATGACTAAAAATGAAAATAAATAAAAATATTTTACCTCTGGTAAATTAACATTTTAAAAGAAAATATTTTTTTTTCCTAATTGTAAAATAAAAAAACAATTTAATTATTTTAAGAGAAATTCTTTTTTTCTTTGTGTAAGTTTTGAAAAAAAAAAAATTTTGTTTGATTTTTGAGTAACTGACGTGACAAAAAAACCAAATTTGAGTGGTCCATTTTACCCCACTTTTTAAAATATCAGCTTTGAGAATAATATGACTAAAAATGAAAATAAATAAAAATATTTTACCTCTGGTAAATTAACATTTTAAAAGAAAATATTTTTTTTTCCTAATTGTAAAATAAAAAAACAATTTAATTATTTTAAGAGAAATTCTTTTTTTCTTTGTGTAAGTTTTGAAAAAAAAAAAATTTTGTTTGATTTTTGAGTAACTGACGTGACAAAAAAACCAAATTTGAGTGGTCCATTTTACCCCACTTTTTAAAATATCAGCTTTGAGAATAATATGACTAAAAATGAAAATAAATAAAAATATTTTACCTCTGGTAAATTAACATTTTAAAAGAAAATATTTTTTTTTCCTAATTGTAAAATAAAAAAAAAAATTTATAAATTTAAGAGAAATTCTTTTTTTTTTTAATAGAGTAATTTTTTTGTTTAAGAGTTTTTGGAAAAAAAATTGGGTAGTAAAAAAATTTAGTTTGATTTTTTGGTAAACTTACGTGACAAAAATTCCAAATTTGAGTGGTCCATTTTGCCTCACTTTTTAAAAATGTCAGCTTTGAGGATAAATTTGAAAATTTTTAAGGAAAAAAATTTCAAATATTTATAAATTCACTGTAAAGAAAAAAAAGTTATTAAATAAAAAACTTGAGTAACTTTTTTTATGAAAAAAAAAAAAATGGTTATTTACCTGAATAATATTACCGATTTTTGGGTTTTAATTTAAAAAAATAAAAAAAGATATTTCTAAATTAAAGTCAAATTTTTTTTAAGATTAAATGGATAGCAAAAAATTTTTTAGATGGCAAAAAATTGTAGAAGATAAATAAAAAATTGTGAAGAATTAAAAATTGCCCGTCAATTATTTCTTCCTTAAGAAAAATAATATTAATGATTGGTTTTTTTTTTTTTGTAAACATAATGAATAAGATTAAACACCTGAAAATTTCCTGAAAGATTTACATAAATGACGCAGAGTTTGTGACCTCTAACAGTCACGAATACACACCGTAATCTTTAGTACTTTTATTAGTAAGAATAAAAAAATTCTTCAGTGTATTGGTGGCGAATTTTTATAAGAAGGACGTACAAGAGACGCTCGGATAACATAGACAATAAAAAAATGACAGTCATCATTTTTTGTGACTAAATTATTAGACAAGATGCAAAATAAAAATATATTGATATTAAAATTCAGTAACTTCTAGTAGATCCTCCAATAACTAGCAATAAATAACGATACAGCCCGATAATATCAACATAGAGTTGAGTTGTAGCGAAGATAACTTCGTCTGGGGATATTTGGATTTTTCTTCCGCCCATTATCGTCTGGACGTCAAAGTACAGATACTAGAAAAAAATAAATTTATTTTATTTAATTATTTAAATGAATATTTGTTTATTTTATTATAATTACCAGAGAAAAAATCAAAGCACCAATAGCGCCGAAAATTGTGATAGCCACCGAAATTTTGGTGTACATTAACGTTACGGTTATTATAATTATCGACATTAATGCAACAACGCCTACAATACTCAGGAGCCCAGTCCACATTGTAAAGTCGAACTGTAATAGTAATTATCATTAGAAATTAGCCATTGATACGCGAAAAAATTTAATCAGGTTCTGGTTAATTTTTTTAAAAAATTCCCCTTCGGGGAATTTTATTAAAAGTCACGAATCTTGGACATTTACATAGCTATTATTACTGTTTTAAATGCTATTTTTTTCTATATAATTATTGAATTGTAGCATTCGAATAATAAATATCACAAATTAACTAGTAAAATCACAATTTTACTGTTTGAAATAGTATTTACTATCAATTGATCACTATTTATTATCCATATTAGTATAAGAATAAGAAAAATTTTATGTCCAGGATAGTCATATGACAAAATCGGTTTTTTTTAGTGAAATTTAGTGTCATTGCAGGTATTGATTTGAATTTGTGCCTTTTTAAGGTTTGATATTATTCTCACCAATAGTCAATTTATGATAATAAGTTTTTAGGCTCCATTTGAAAATACTCTATCTCTAGATACATAATTAAGAACGGACCTTGTATCTTGTGAGCTGTTGACATTTTTAAAGATATAAGCTCACCCTGACATTATACTCATTGAGACCTTTCCTTTGAGTACCCACATCAATTTTTCATATATTTATATATATTAATATTATATATATATATAAATATGAGAAATATATCAAAAATGCATGTGGGTACTCAAACAAAAGCTCTTGAAGAGTATAACATCGGGATGAGCTTATATCTTAAAAAATGTCAATAATTATTAAATGACCTTGTATCTTGTGAACTATTAACATTTTTAATGGTATAAGCTCATCCTGATGTTACACTCATCGAGAGCTTTCATTTAAGTACCCACATCAATTTTTCATATATTTTATATATTATATATATGTATATATGAAAAAATACTTACTTTACAACAAATAGCTGCAAGTGCGACCAAAAGTGTTACCGCAGCAGTTAAACCGACCGTTATCAACACCAACTCCACATTAAAGCGTATTGATATGTATGCAGCCAAGTGGGACTCTGCTAGTGTCTGAAAAAAGTTTAATCCACTGTATATTAATAATGATTATTTATTTATAAAATTTTAAGAGAGTGATAATTAACTAAAAGCAGCAACAACGTTATGCCCCATCCGGATTGTCTTCTTCCGCAATCTGTTATCGATATACTGCAGTACGAGCACAGAAAAACCGTCCTATAAAAATAAAAAAATGTATTTGTGACAATACTAAAATTTATAGACATATTTTTGTTTTTAATAAGTAATTAAAGCTATAAAAAATTATAAAAAAATTTTTTTTTTAAATTAAAAAAAAAAGTTTTTTTTAAAATTTAAAAAAAAAAAATATTTTTTTTTAAATAAAAAAAAATTAATACTTACATTGCTATAACCCATAAATACCAGTACCGATTTATGAAATCGCGAGCTGGTGGGCTGAAATAAAATAAAAAAAATTATAAAAAAATAAATAAATTACTAAATTGTAATTTATACATACTGAAACATAAAAAAAGATATATATAGCGCAGTGAATAAAAATTGTAGGAACAATATAAAGAAAACTTTAGTTATAAAATTCCTCCTTAATTTAGAATTTTTAAATTCCGCAAAATAATCTTCGTCTGTTTGAGTTCCACCTAAGTTCCTTCTTTGCTGCGCTAACCAAAATCGGTAAATTTCTTGGTTTTGACGCTCGCGTTCTATCACCATACTGTTGGTGACTGTGATTGTGTAAGGACCCTATTAATTAAAATAATAATTTTTTTTTAATGGAGAAAAATTCGTGACTAATTAATATTTAATAACAAATAAATAAATAAATAAATTTACACTTTGAATATTTTGGCCCCTAACCAAGTGCGGCAGTAATGGCGGCCCGCCAGCAGCCACGGGAATGTGAGCGGTAGATGAATCCGGTAATACATTGTTTTGATCGAGAGACAATATTGACGCGGGTATGTTTTGAAAATTATTTGTTAAGTATGACGGCTGTTGCATAGTAAGTAGTAATTATTTTTTTGTTATTTCTAACTGACAGGACATTGTGACATTTTAGGTTAGCGTTGAACGACTGGCGCGCATGCGCGATAATTTTAAGGCGCATTTATATGTGAAGTAAGAATTGTAAGTTAAATGGAACAGTGTTCCATTTTAGATTTTTTTTTTTTTTAATTAAATTACAACTTAAAAAAATATTTATAAAAAATTGCACTTGTAGTTTTTCAAGTTTTTTACATGTGACAATTTTTTTTTTTTAATTGTTTAATTGAAATTTCTTCAATAAAAAATTTCTAAAAATTTTGAAATAATTTTTTTTTATGAAAATTAAGTTAGCCGACATTTAAAAACTTTCAGAAATTTTTTTATTGAAAAATTATTAAAAAAAAAAAAAAAAAAAAAA